ACAGATAGACTTCGAGGTGGAAAGAACGGCGGAAGGCTATGGGATATAAATAACGAGAAACTAACGACTTGTTGGCATCGCTCATTCGCTCGCGCTCAGCCCTCTTCTCCTGTCCACCCAGCGCCAAACTCCAGTCCAAACGCACACAAACACACGGGAAACAACCCGCCGCCGCAAATTTTATTTCGCCTCGTCCCGTGTGTGTCGTGTGCGCCCGCTGTTTAGCTGCTCGTCGAAGAGCCGTTCTTCATGCCCGCGGCCCCGCCACCGCTAACGTGCTGTCTGAGCCCGATGTTCGTTTTGCCGCCACGGATAGTCTCAAGCGGGCTCTTGATCGTTCCTGCTCGCAATGCTCGGAGAATCGCGATGCTCACCCGCATCACCTGCTCTTGGCTTGCCCTTAGCTCGTTGAATGACGGATAGACAAGCAGCGAGAAAATCGAGGGTAGGATCGAAAGTCCGATTGGTCCTCCGTTTGGCAAAAACGGCTTCGCCTCAATCGTCATCGCGCACCACTTTGAAAAAGCCGCACTCAGCTTCACCTTGGCAAACGCCCTCGAAAAGTCGACACCGCCATAGCATCGCGCATCCCTCGAAGATGCTCGCCCGACGATCTGCTCCGGCCACGAAGGAGGACATGGCGGCGCGGTCAACATCGGATTTACCGGGTGCGGGTAGTACAATCGACCAAGCACTACGTCGTCGCCGCGTGGTGCTCGCCCCGCCTGGCACTGTAAAAAGATGATCTTGTCTACCGCGAGAACGAACTCCCTGCACTTCTCCGTTGATGTTTCTCGCGTCATGAGAAGTGTCTGGATCGTCTTCTCCGCGTGGTGCAGCTGCTTGACCTTGATCGAAGGTAACGGCGATCGCTCGTACCGGATCGATTCGCACCCCAAAACGTACCCGAGGAAAAATCGATGCTTATTCCCCTCGACGGTAAAAGCTCGCGGGTCACAGAGGCAGATCATAACCTCGAGGATGAGCGCCACCTCTTCTGCTGTTACCTGCGCTTCTCCCGCGTCCAAATACCGGGTCAAAATTGCTGCGTCCTCGTCGAACAGAGACACGTCCCAATTCCTGAGCTGCGCATGGACTAGAAATAGTTTCCACGCTGTCGATCCTTCGGTGATCGTGCGCTTCTTCTGCTGATACTTCTTTTCTGCCTCCTGCGCCAGTGCGATCATGCTGTCATCGGTCGCCATCGGTAGTGTCTTGTTGAACGTGGCCTGCAAGTTGTAGTGCGTGTACGTTGTCGGATTCGTAACTTTGCTCTTCTTTCCCACGGCAACGTCCTCGGTGAAACAACGCCCGAGAGGACCATCAAGCAGCGCGGCGTCCGTTTCTGTGTTGACCGTTTCGTTCTTGTTCACCGCAGGCGTGAACCCTGGACCGACATCGCCAAAAATGCTGTCTGCTGTCTTCGTCCCTAGCCCCATCGGCAGCATGAGCGTTTCCAGTAGCGCGCGGCCCTTCTGGTCAACCCGGATCTTTTTCGCACTCGCGCCACTTGTCCTGACCCACAACGTGACCTCGTAAGAGGGTGTCACGTTCACGAAAATTGGCCTCGGGTACGTCTCGTTCGGAAACGATAGCGTGAAGTTCTGCCGCTGCCTGCCCGCCAAAAAGATAGAAATCTGCTGACCACACGGATACGGAGTCGGAAGTCGGAGCTCCCGCACCTCTCCTGGCCGGATGACTTCATATCGATGCTTCTCCGCTGCTGTGTCCTTAGAGCCGGTGGAAGATAGTCCTGGATCGGCAGCACTCGCATGGCACCACTTTCCGCCAGTTGTGTGGACTCCACGAGGGATGAAACTACTGACCTCGATTTCCTTTTCCACAACAGCTGCTCCTTCTGCCTCCGGATCTTTTACCGGGACGCGAAACCTGTGTCGAGGCTCCATGTCCATCGAGTACCTCGCGTGCCGCATGTCGATGTTGCCCCGCGTCGCGTGCATCGGTCCCTGTAGCTGCCGCATGCGAAAACTAATCCGTGGATACATTCTGTACACGCGTCCACTCACATCCACAACGGCTGCCTGATAGTACACGGACCTCGGATTTTCGTCGGTCGCGCTGCCGGTGAAGCCTTGCGTCGTGTGCTTCTTGTCGTGGGTCTCCATCCACAACCGAAACCATCCGTATTCCTGCAGCCGCTCGTCGAGCTCGAACGAGTGGCACGAGTGCAGATACATCAGCGCGCGCGGAAAGTCATAATCCCACACGTTGCTGACCGTCTGCTGCCCTGCCTCGCAACCAGAATCCGCTAGCTCCTCAAAAACGTCGTGCGCCGTGCCGTTGTGCGTATGCCCTGCTCCACGCAAATAGCTGATCTGCTCCTGTAAAAATTCGCTAAGGTCTTCACCGCCTGGCGGTGAGTATAGCGCTGTCCCCCGAGGTCCTGCATGGCACAGCAAAACTGTGTGTGTCCCGTAGTTGAAGTACGGCCATTTCGCCGCCGCGCCAGCTCCCGCGAGAATCTTCCCGAAGTAGAAGTCTGACTGTGCACGATCCCGCAACTGCTGTTGCGAAAAACGCGGCACTTCGCAAAGATTGATCGATATACAATCGAGAACTTTACTGTCCTCCTCCGCCCAGTCCACGCTGTTCTTGAATAGTACACTTTTGCACTCGCTGTTTTCTGGGTGTCCGTGTAACTTCTCTACGCCGGATCTGCTTCCGCTGTTGATTACTGGCGACATTTCTCCTACGATGATCTTGAACTGCGGCAGGGCACCTCTCTCGCACTGTCGTATCGAACCGAAGCGCCCGGCGGTAACACGAAGGACGCCGTCTATACGGTGCATCGTGTAGTCGCGGCTGCCTGCGACGACTGGCCCAGTTTCCGCTAGCGCGTCCTCACACAGCTCGAGGATCGACTTCCGCTCCGTGTGTGCGACCTCACGAACGATGGGTCCCAGAACCGAAATGCGTCCTACGTCGTAGTCTCGCGAGACGAACTCTCGAGCGCGTACCCGTCGCGCGTCGTTGTCACCTTTGTGCGCCTCCCACCTGAGAATCGCCCCCTTCGATAGTGCACAGATGAAAGCTCCACCTTCCGCAATAGAAACGCCCTGCTCATATACGGTAATCCGCGTTGCTTTCTCTTTCGCACGGCAGGCCTCATTGTAATACGCAGCAGTGCGCACCATGTCAGTGAAAATGCGTAGCAATCGCTCCGCGAGGCCATCT